TGTTGCCGTGGAAGCAAGCTTACGGGGCGCGTTGATGTAACGGTATGGTGGCATGTTATTTGCAGATGATCACACCGAAGGATAGCGATACTAAAAACATCAGTCGTTCAAGCAGTCTCAAACGGTGCTCCAAACATATGTCGCTAAGGTTGAAACGACGCGAGAAAGAAGTGACGGCGGCCCCAGCAGACGAAAGCGACTGCAAAATATCATAGCAGAAGCGTTTTTTAGATATGCCTACTAGCCGAACAGTTTTGCGGACGTGTGAAACAACAATTCAGTGGACCGATGCGAAGGAGCCATCCGCGCTAATTTTGATGCCATGTTTTATTTTTGCTGCAGACAAAACCATGTTTAATGCCGGTTGTAGATGTTGCCTCACTCGAATCTCTTGATACATTCGATGGAGGGAACCATTCACTTTGTTTTCCCAGCAAAAATTACGACACTGAAAGGGGGAGCAATTTTCCGCTCTGGAAGCAACACTGATAATTTCCAGTCATCACGTAATGTCATTTTCTAAAAAATATAACACGCTTCGAAACATTAAGGCATTTTTCGTTACCTCCCGTTTTGAACATAAAAGAATGAGGGAAAATGTTATGTGCAGCCTGAGAAAAGTTTTTCTTCTATAACCAGCTTTTCTGTAGAAGCAAGTTTTCGTCAGAAATTAAACCCTTTTAATTAAAAAAATAAAAAAAAAAAATTCTAATTATGGTTTTGATTCAACTGAAGCCAAACGGATTCTTGTTTTGTTTTCTTACGTGAATATTTGCATGACCTTCCTGTAACTCGAGCAGATCTTTCAGCAGCGGCCATCCACTTTGTGTACTTCCGAGCGCCTCCCATGGAGAATGAATTATTAGAAGGTTTTATTTCTTTTTTCGTATTTTTAGGAACTGTTATTTCAGTCAATTTGTTAAATTTGAAAAATTGCTGCATCAGAGCACATCGATCCAACATCCGAACATCGTGGACTGTATTTGCGAAATATTTATCGTTTACCAAGCGTCTCTGAAGGAGCACAAAGTGATGAATATCTGTCATAATGATCCTGCGGTGGTGGAAGCGCTATTTAGATGATGAATATTTGTGTCTCTGAAGAACTGAGAATGCCGGGGCTACGGTGGAGGGTGGTTATACCGGCGCATTGGAATGCATACACGTATTGGTATGCGCTGATCGGTGGCTGAAGACGGTCCCTTTGTGAGGTCATCACATAACCTTATCATCCAGCGCTGTATTCGATCCGATCTGCACCATCAAAATACCATCATGCAGATATCGTAAAACGAAACCTGCTTTAAGGAATCATGAAACTCACGAGTTATATGAAACAAATTCAAACGTTTTCTAACAGTATTTGACTTTCTAATGTTTTAACAGAATTTCTAATTTTAACAGAATTTGTACAGAATTTCTAATTATGTTATTAAAGAATTTCTAATGTTCTAATTTCTTAACAGAATTTCTAATAACAGAATTAACAGGATTTAACAGAATTTCTAACAGAATTTCTAGTGAAACAACTTCAAACGTTTCTGTGTTAATTTTTGGTACAGATGAGCTTTGTGTTCATACTATCTGGAAGAATATGGATGAGATCATCTTTACGGAAGAATGTTTCGGTAGTAAGCAAAAGGCGTTTCAGCACATAACTTTTTAGCTGTGCCAGTTCACTTCAGACCCTTTTGTGCAGTCATGTAAGTATTTATGTTTTCCAGTGACTGAATTCCAGATCACAGAAGCTTGAGGGCTGAAATTTGGGAAATTAGTTTCTACCCCACAAATCCAGGAACACAAAATAAATTTTCGCGTTAAAATATGACCTCGTAATCTGGCATCACATCAAAGTGGTAGCAACGTGCACCACAACCATATCCTACAGTTTTATCTGCGACTGCCTACTGTTATCACTTGTTAAAAACATTGTGTCCGGGTAATCCCAACTCCTCCGTGTGTTATCACATCCATCCAGTGTGAATCGGTAACAAATTATCTCAAAAGTGCACAGTGGCGCCGATTCTTCGGTTCGTGCCGCCATTTGTTATCAAAAGGAACCAGCGAATCCACTGGAACTGACGTTCCAGTGACAGCTTTGTAGCACGAAAGTAGTGGTAGTGAGAGAACAACATTTTGCAACATCGATTAATATCTCTAAATTCAAAGATAGATGTGGAGGTATCCTGGAAGATGCACTTGCTGGAAGTATCCTCAAGCATATGTCATTCAAAACATCATAAGAAATTTTGTATATTTTGGACAGGAGGTGCAAAGGAGTGGGGGACAATAGAGAAAATGAAACGGTTGAGACTGGAACAGGAGTTCCGAAATTATGTTTTGGACAAATTCCATTTAGCACGACTATTTTGTCTCGATTTTCATTTTTACGCGCCTTTGCTTAAATGATTTATGCTAATAAAAATGCATTGTG